AAAAAAAAAAAAAAAAAAAAAAAAATGCACTTAGTAAAAATGGCTAGCTGCTCCACTTGCACACGAAGTGGCTGCCCATTATGCGGTAACTCGCCGAGTGGTGGCGAGGAATGCGCAACGTAGTCTGATACGTGCATCGCAGGCTTTATTAAGGAGGACCACTTAGTTGCCCATTTAGAGTCCGTCTTTGGTATATATATATCTTTGTGTGTGTCTTCTCTGATGGCACACCTTTCGTGTACTCTTTCTGTCGCTCTCCCACGGAGGTGCAATATCACTTGCTTATTTTCTTTTTCTTCTCAATTTCCAGGTTCAGTATGTTGCGCATTTCGTTCGCTTCGCAGTCCGTCGTGGAGCTACCATTTTTGTAGTCCTGAAATTCATTTTCTTCGGACAGCACAGTTTCCATATTTTCCCTATCCCTGTTGCTATGCCCTCTGTTTAAGTATTTTAACAGGTTTCTTTTTTTCCCCTTAACAACTTTTTTTTTCCTCTTCTTCATCTTCTTTTCGACGCTGTTGCTTGGGATTAAGTCGACCAAAGTTTTCACTTCTTCTAAATCACTATTTTGTATCTTTGTTTTGCCCATTTTTTTGGCAATGCTATTTTTGGACTTAAGATTCTCAGACGTACCTGCATCCCCCGAGTCGTTACCCACTTTTTTTTTAACCTTGTTCACACTTTTTTTGTTAATTTCAACTGTGTCGTGTCTTTTCAGTGTGCTGTCTTTCACACTTTCACGCAAGCGACTCATACCACTTAAACCGCCTCTATCCCGAGAGGTCCCTTTTTTCACGCCAGCCCTCTTGATGGACAAATTGGTGTCTATCCTGCTCACCTGTTTTTTGATGATTTTTTCTGCAGAATAGGCGCGTTTGAAAGTTGCCTCCTTTTTTTGTTGCCTCTTCGGGGGGGCTTTGCCCTTGGGCGCAATTTCCTGGGGTGCACTTTCATGAAGCTCTTTTTTTTTCCTCGAGTCCCTTTCGGCATCATTTTGGACTTCATTTGGGCCCTCATCGTTGGAGTCAACTCTACGGCCAATTCTGCCTCCCTTTTTGCTACCCTGTTCAGTTCCTTTTCCCTTTTTCTTTTCCTTTCCCTTCTCCTTGGGCTTCTTCCTTTTGGCCCCTTCGTCCTCACTCTGCACGTCGACCATCGACAGATCTTCATTGTTGTAGCTAGCCATAATTTCATTCTTCACCTCACTTGCATCGATGTTGGCTTCCTCGAGCATTTTCTCCATCGCACCTACAATCTTATTGAGCATCTCCTTCTCCCTCATCAGCTTCTTCATCTTCTCCACTTTTTTCTTATTCTCCATATTTAACTTAAATTCTAAAAACCTGTTTTGCGCTTCCAGATTTTTGATGATGGCTATGGATTCTACCAACTCGGTGTAAATTTTTTTATTCAAGTTTCTCATGTCATTTTCGATTACTTCCTTTTCTTGTAGTTTCTTTCTGGAGAGCATTAATCGTCCATACATGAGAAGAAACTCCCTCTTCAGTTCCTTTGCCGCTTCACTGGTTTGTTCATCCTGCACACTTAACTCCTGTAGCAGCTCATTATATTTCGGGACCAGATAAAACAGCTTGTTCTCTTCTCGTAGGTCCTTAATGAGCGCATCCTTCTTCTCCATTTGTTTTCTCAAGTTTAGGTGAAATTCAGCCAAGACATTGAAATCCCTGGTTTTTTCTGCAAGCGATATGGACAATTCTTCTAGCTTTTTCATCATCCCTGCAAACTTGAAGTTAGAATCTACATCTGCTGTCTTCAGTAGATCATTTTTGTAATCTTCTGTCGCTTTAATAATTCGATTGAAATGTTTTTCCACTTCGACCTTATCGGTTAATATTTTTTTAATGAAAATGTTAATATTTTGAATGCGCTGTGAAAATTTCTCCTTCATCTTCTGCACAGTTTGTCTCATTTTCTGTTGTTCGTATAGTAGCGCCAATATTTTCTGTTCCCATGGTGTAAGCATTGTCAGAATGGAGTCAATAGTTTTGCTGCTCTTTTCATCTTTTATATTCTTTATTGGGTTTCCTTCCTCATGCTTATCCACCTTATTTGCGATGGTGCTTCCGAGTATGTCTTCCAATGCCTTCTTCGACACATCATATGGTTTTTCTTCACTTTTTAGTACCTCATCCACCCTTTTTAACTCTTCCGCATTTGGGTCATGCCTCTGTTGAATTCTCAGGACAAATGAGAAAAACATTTCATTTATGAAAACGTGTGATATGGACTCATTGTACTCCGCTTCATGTTCGTTGTCGTCGAATGTACCACTTAGCAGCTCTTCCTCTCCCTCCACCATTTCTACACCGCGGTCGTTTAGATGACGACGCCTTGCAGCCGAATCGTCCTTGTCTCCATTGATCAACTCCATCGATTTCTTCGTATCGCATAACTTCAAATCTTCTCTCAAATTCTCCTGCAGCTGCAACACATTTTCTATGTTCCTTCCTGGAGGCACCGTGCCTGTCAAGATGGTCGACAGACCGACCTTCTGCATGAGCTTCATAATAAATTTGATTTGCTTGTTCAGCTCGACATTTCTGCTGATTATTTTTTTTTTCTTTTTAAGGTCTTCTTCAATTTTTTCCTTCAAGTTGGAGATGATGGAGGTCCTTTTTTCGTTGTCGTCTTGCTCCCTCGGTTGGGCGAAGCTTACAGAGGACGCCCGTTTCACCATGTCGGCTCCGCCTTCCCACTTGACCTCTCCCTCGCCCAAATCATGGTCCTCACGACTGGTCTGCCTATTTTCCTCATGACTTGTCTGGTTATTTTCGTCGCGGGTGTCATCCATATCGCTCCCCTCAGTGAGTTCACTCCCGTCGCTCCTGGCATTTTCTTCGCTGCCCCCCTTTTGCGCGCCAGCCGCTTTCCCAAAGGATTCCCTTTTGAACTTGCCATCATTGACCGTTTTTTTCTTCCTCAGGTGGTTTGTCCCACCTCTGTTCCCCCTACCCTTCGGCTTGTCCTTATCCTTGTCTTTGCCCTTCCCCGACTCTGCCGCCTCCCTATTTGGAGCATCCGCGTTGTTCGCTTTTTTCCCTTTCTTCTTCTTGGCCTTTTTCCCCTTTCCTCCCTCCCCCTTCTCGTTCTCATCCACCAGGTTGGAGTGTTCCATGGTGCTTAACTTTCTGAGCTCTCCATACACCCTATTGGCAGAAGTGTTGCTGGTGGCGACATCTCCCTTCTCCTTCCTCTTCCTCCTACTTAACTCATTCTTCTCCAGCCGTTCTAGCTCTTCCAATTCATTATAATAATTGAGAGAAATTAAATCGTCTTTCTGAGATTCATCAGACATAGCGTCTTCACTCATTTCAGAAGAATTTAATTTATATGGAGGTTTATTCTTCAAGTAATCCATAGCTTTGGAGATGTTAATATTTTCCTGATCATTCTGGTCTTCATACTTATCCATCCCATCCCACTTGGAGTCATATTCATGTGTATCAAAGGACCTAAGCCACGTATATTCATTTTTTATATTATGATTTATGGTCATAGAATATTTCAGCGACTTCTCCGTATTGCCATCCATAGACCTCAACGTGCTGTAGTTATTTGGATGTACATGGAGCTCAGATTTTAAAATAAAATTTTGAAATTTCTTCACTTTTTCTTCCAATTCGTGTTTTAAGGCTAATATTTTTTCATCATCTTCTGGGTTTCTAACACATACATTATTTTTCTCTCCCCCCATGAGGAGATGGTTGTCTACATTTTTGGTGGTTGCCAAATTCTTCAGCTGATTCTGCAGCTTGGCTATCAACTCCTTTTGTTGCATAATAACTGACTGCTCCGCTGAGAGGTAGTTCACTTCGATTTTTTTCTTAATTGTTTTACACTTTAATGCGAAACGGAGAGTAGAGAAGGAGGTGTCGAGATAAAAATGAGAAGGATGAACAGCAACAATGACAGAAGCACGACAATTTCCTCCTAAACTTTTACTCAAAATTCTTGTCAACTTGGAATCCCTCCATGGTATGAAAACTAAATCTTCTTGAATTTTTTTTATTTTTTTTTCATCTCCTGCTGCTATTGCCTGAGCTCTTTTGGACAACTTAGAAATGACTTCACTTAAAACGAACAGACTTTTATTTATAGCCTTTCCTTCTTCTATCAACGTCTTCGCATTTTCTATTCCTTCGGCTGCTCTTCCTGCTCTTTCATTACCTGCCAAATCGACTATCTTTAATTCCCCCCTTTTGTTAATTGACGTGCCATCGCTTAGCACCTGATTAGATTCCAGTATGACCGTAAAAATGGTATGAGATCTGGACGACGTTTCGTTAAAATTGGTCTGCGAAATGTGTCTCCGCTGTTCAGCTTTAGCAACTAGAAGCATTACTTCATCTATGGACGTTACTGTTTCTTCTTGTACTCCTATCACAACGAAACCCCTCTTGGGGTCTTCCTTCACATCCAAATTTTCAGTTGCCCCTCCTCTGTATCCTTCTTGTAGCAAATCGTTAACTCTCTCCATGTACACTTCCAGGTAAGTCACGCTCATCAAAAATTCTTTTGTGTTGTTATTCGATTCGTCATCCGCATCGATACTCTCACTATTATCGTCATTCAATGAGGATGGATTTTCAATACCGTTGAAGAATTCCGCCAGTGATCTTGGTAGCATACCTGGGTCTGTGGGCACCCCCATCACACTGTGTGTCTTTCCTGACCCCGTCTGCCCATAAGCCAGGATACACCCGTTTATCCCTTTAAATGTATCCAGGACGATATCTCTAGCTAGGTGCTTGTACACCTCTTCATTTCCAACTGGGACAAAAGAAAAAAAAAAAAGTAAATTAATGTAAAGAAAAAAAAGAAACGGTCACGTGTTAGAAATGGAAAAGTAACGACATCATGAACTCGAGTGTCACGCAAATTAGAAAGGCTGCAAAAACGTGACATCACATGCGCGCTGGTGGTAAGGGGCAAAATAGGCGACTCTCACAAATTGGACGAATAGACACGTAGAAGTTGCAACCATTATATGTGTATTTGCCCCTCATGCAGTTTTCTCATTACCGTTTTCGTCGAAGCACCGGTCGAACGCGTAGTACCGCTGCAAGACGGCCTTTTGCCCCTCGGACTTTTCCACATTTTTCTTGAACTCCACTTTGTTTCCCTTCTTCTGGACCCTTGCGTTGATCATCTCGGTCAGGGAGAGCGGCTCGACTACTAGCTGCATGTCTGTTTCGTTCATTTTCCACGCTTTCAAGTGGCCGCTGTTGATCTGGAAGGGGGGGGGCGAAACAAAAATACAGCGATGTCACTACCGAGCTATATCACTATATAGCCATGCCTCTACGCAGTATATCCTTATGCAGCCATGCAGCTACTCAGCAAGCAACGACGTGAGCACTTACTTCCTTCTCGAATAGGGGCCTTATACGGGTGCACACCCGAATCGCCTCCTCTTTGGAGGAAGACTCCACCTGGAGCCCGTCCAAGTTCATCATGTTATTTTCTTCATTTTTATTAACGTCCATTTTGTGGCAAAAGAGACAGGAAGACTGAACAAAAATAAAAAAAAAAAAAAACGGAACAACGGGATGCTTCAAGTGGAGGGGACAAATTCTCCGAATTTCGTGCAATTGAGGCAACCCCCTAGATGCACGCTTCGCAATCAGTTGTCTATATTTTCACTCAATATGGAAAAAAAAAAACATCCACAAAATTTGATGCTGTGCCCCCTTGGCATCTTTTCCCGTGTGCAATCTTGGCGGAAAATATGCTGAACTGAGGCCTTCGGGGAAAAGCCTACAAAGCATATTCCAAACAAATGAATCAACTGTCTTCCATCAGTTGTATGTTGCATATGAATGTTTACAAATTGGGGAAATGCACAAAATGTTTTTTTAGCGCCACAAAAAGCGTTTCTTCTTAATTTTGTCAAAGCATGGACGTTAAATTTTTACGCCACGCGAAGGTAAACAAAAAAAAACTTTTTTGTTTGCGAAATAGACTTTAAAACAATTTTACATGATAACGAAGGGACAAGCTTCGAACAGGCAAGAGCTTCGCAGTTCATGTATCGTTCATTATGTGTCCCCTTTTGTTCCTTTTTTATGCTTATTTGGTAAAAAAAAAAAAAAAAAAGGAAAAAGTGGACTACGTCCGCGGGGGCGTAGCGTTCATACCTGTTACGAAGAGCACGTGAAGATGGGTCTATACTGGTGCATATAAAAAAGGAACATTCACATATGTGCGTATAGGCATAGTGTACATGTGTGTATGTGTACACTTAGGGCCATTCCTGAAAAGTGAAAAAAAGGGAAACGTGTGGAAACGTCTTTTCGTGCGAAATATTTTTACACGAACAGTCAATCAAGTGAGAAAAAAAAAAAAAAAAAAAAAAATAGTTAAAAATAACAGTTACAAAAAAAAAAAAAAAACATGGGTATGCAAATGTGGAAACAAGGACGAAGGCAGAGCCAAAAAATGTGTGGACTTTTTCTTAAACTGCCAAAAATGCCCATCGTGCAGATAGCGCTGTATGAAAAGAACAAATCTGTTGCGATGCTTCACGAGATGTTTAGATGAACAATCCCAAATTACACATCCAATTAAGCCATTTTAAAAGGAAAAAAGAAAAATAGACAACCCTTACTCGTTCCCACATTCATGATATTCACGTAAATTCTTCCGCTTTGTCACAACATCAGAATTCTTGCTACAGTTTGGCAGCAATTTCCTGAGTGTGCAATTTTTTTTTTTTTTTTTTTTTTAATATTTTGGATAGAAAAAAAAAAAAAATGTTGCATTTTGCCTGAACAGTCAGGTAAAAAATTGCAAGAGACTTGTGTCAAGCGAAATATGTCAAGCAAAGCATGTCAATCAATGCGCATTTTTGCACCTTCACCTATCATGGGGTGGGAAATATGTTCCAAATTAAGAAAAAAAAAAAAAAAAAAAAGGATGGCGCAGCGCACAAAAATATAAGCCCAAGCACTTGAAAAGTTAATTGAAACGAAAGACTACACTACACAAGTAACTGCTCAAACGATAAAAAGTAGAAACAAAAAAAAAATCCTCCGACGGTTATGTGAGAATTGCATCAGTTTGTTTATCATATGTTCTTCTTCTGTTCCGCAAAGTGAAGGTACATAAAGACCCAACAGATGATCATCTCAGAAATGAGGAACAAAATTGAGGAGTAAAACAACTGCGAGTGTTGGAAAGAGGGAGAAGGGACGGGGTGTCAACATGGATGTATGGATTGGTAGGGGGGCCAACCTGCAAGCGCATTTAGCACTTGTTCCTCCGTTGCTAACATTTTTGTTAGCTCCAAACTATGTGTGCAACATCATATTGTATACCTGCAGGAAGGTGTTATACCCCTTGAATTCAAGGTAATATGCCCACAAGAGCCAGTTCGCCTGCGCGCCGATAAAAAAAAAGGGGGTAGTTTGTGTTAGTCACCTGTGTGCAGTGGATACATGCGCACGAGCACACGCATTTGTTCGATTGGTTGTTCATTTGTCTGCTTCGGGAAACGGAAAATTAAAAGAGCGCTTTGGTCATATTGGCGTGTGAACTGGTGACACAATATCGCATGTCACAAGAACTTCTCAACCCATGCTGCGCTTTTGCAAACCTTGGCTAAAATAAATAAGAGAGCTGCTCCCGCAATAAGGGCCAAGTTTTTCTGTTAAACGTTGAAAAGGGATATATGTACAAGTATTTAGACGGAGGGGATAAGAAGGACTCACATCCAGGCATGTGCGAGTTGTCGCATAATTCCCTCGCCGCATGTAGGTACACACGCTGGTCACCTCTTCTGTTTTTACCCTGTTTAACGTTATGGAGTGCAGGACAACCGGAATGAAGGGGAGGCACCAAATGAAGTACTGAAAGAAAAAAAGGGCGGGCGGGGAAAAAATGTGTTAGCGAAAGGTGCAACTATTGAAGAAGGTGAATATATGGAAAAGTAGCACCCGTACGAAAAGGAGTCTACGTTAGTGCGGCGCGTCTCTCCTTATGTATGGGACTGCGACAACAGTGAGCGTTGCTTACACAGATGGTAGTATTTGCCGACCCGACTCATCGCTACATTTCCCTTTGTTCTTACCTGTGAGGTGCACACTTTGTTCATGGCAATGAAGGCGAGGGTCTTGGACGGAAAAAGAAAAACAAATAAATAACAGAACAAAGAAGGACATATAACAAGATAAACAAATGTCTATGAGCGCATCTATATACGCGCCATATGAGAGCCCCCCCCCCTTCTTTCTGGTAATATATTTACCTGCAGGAACATGGACAATTCCAAGTTGGCCCGCGCGTACTTAAAGCCGAACAGTGCCACTAACGCGGCTTGAGGAACAAATGTTACAAGGGGGATGATCTGCGCGGGGGGCGAGTTTGTGCACGTTAGGACAGGTGGGTGTAGGGAAAAGCAGTTTTCCCCCTGTGCAAGTACGTGTGAAATTTCACCTTCACCGCAGGGAAAGTGGCGTCTTAGAAGGAAGCAGCTATAACTAGCATTTTCTCATGGTAGCTATAGCTGTGGTGTCCGGTTGTCACCATCCATTTGTTATGGCTGGCGGGACAAGGCAAACGCGGGAGAGCCCCTGGACACTGCGTTACCTTGGAGTTCCCCTCAATGCTCAGGTACATAAGATAAAAGAAGAGGGAAAAGTTGTGTCTGTGGTCCCGACGCACGAGGTGGTATATGAAGGACTCGTGCAAAAAAGGGTATCCGTACCTGCCATGGGGGAGGGAAAAAAAAAAAAAAAAAAAAAATACACCCATATGGGAGCACGTTATTTGTAAGTGGGTCCACCCCCGTGAAAACATTGGTGCATCAAACTTCACGGGGGAGGTTGCACATTGTGGACATCACATGGGAAACATGCCCACGGGGGGTAATTCCTCACATTCGATAAAACACCCCATTAAGAAGCATGAAGGTGCCAAAACTGCACAGGGAAAACACCAGCTGATCCCGGTTTAGCTTAAACAGTCCAGCACAAAGTTGGCCGATTGAGCGAAGAGTGCGGCTAATAGGATTCACACAAAGGTCCTGTGGTTTATCCCCTTGAAAAACATTGTCCTTGGTCAAATAGTTTTTGTTCAGATAAAGCATCAGAGGGAGGGCATAGATAATTGGGTATATTTTAAAATTAACAGCTAGCCCATAAAAAATAGCTGCAAGGTAAATTTTCTTTTGATAAATGCAAAGGAGAGTTAACAAAACGAACAAGCAGGGAATGCAGTCGGCATTGCCCCTAATGGATATGATGACCACCATCGGATTTAGGATCCACAGGGAAACATAAAAAATGTAATTCTTACATGCGGGGTATTTAATTCTTAAGATTCTAATCAGGACAATAGCGATGACACAATCGAATGATGAAAACAGGATTTTGCCAAAAGAAAAATGAAGAAAAAAATTAGGCACCATCAAGTAAGCCAATAGGGGTGTATATCTATAGGTGTAGCGTTTATAAGGAGACTCATTCCTCAGGACATATTTTGCAGCATCTGAGTAGACATAATAATCAACATCTGTAAACTTCACATCGAAATTGTTGTCATGCCACAGGCTGTAGTAGTAAATAATTACACGAACTATGATCCCTAGCAGGAGAACTAATTTTGTTAGGCTTCTGACATGGCTGGTGTCGATGTTAGCACTTCTGTTCCTATGTTCCGTTTGAGTTTCTTTTAGTGGTACAGTGGCTGCCATTTTCGGGGCCACGTTGTGTCTACTGTGCGGTCCATGCCTTTTGGGGGGTCAGCGCAGCGACATCGATGAGGATGTTCATTGTGGCGAACGACCTCTACACTGAGGGCACATCACCTCATGGGCGCTTATTGGAGACGGGGAACAATTAAATCTAAATAATGTCCTGGGGTAACTCTCCCATTTCTTCCCTTCAAAGGCGCTTATATGCTCATTTCCCCGATGGTGCAGGGAAGATAGACTTTTACGCGGGCTTAAGATGGAAGTGGGAGTGAATTTGTGAGAAAGAGGACGACCATTGCGGTTATTTCATCCGAATGGGGAAAACGTCCACCAAGTGTGGCGATTTAAAAGTATTGTGCGTGAAAAAAAAAAAAATAAAATAAATAAAACTCTGTTGTGTAACTCTTCGTTCGATTCGCAAAAATTTTGCTGACCTGACATGTGCAATTTTTTTTTTTTGTGCACGCTCACAACGTTTTTCGCTTTGTTAGTTATGTTCCCGTTATCACTTGCTGTAGCCCTTGTGGTAGTTGACTTTAAGGGGCATATACTTTCTCGACCGTCACGGTTTGTGTTATCGGCACATGGTCACATTTTCGCAAGAAGTGACATGAAAATAATGCAAGCATGGGACTATACGGGGCTTTGGGCAGGGAAAAAAAAAAATATAACCGTATCGTTTTCCCGTCCCACAAAATAGCCAATAAAATTGAGCATAGGAATTTCCTTCTGCAGTGGTTTGGCAAATATTATTATTTTTTTTTTTTTTTTGCCGCCTTTTACTGACTGTTCAGT